AAAAAAAAAAAAAAAAAAAAGAACAAGCAGCAGCAAAAGAGTAGGAGTAAAGCACAGGAGAAACCTGAAACTGATCTACATTGTGCTGTCCTGGTTTCGTCAGGAGAGAAGTAGAATAACCAGACACCTTAAAGCCTGTGCCACCCAGACATGAAATTAATAGTCACTCTCTACTGACAGGTCTTACCCAAATCATTATTTTTTGTGATAGCTGCAGCTGCCCTGGCTCGAGGTCCCTGTTGTGTGAAATGGTATCCAAATTTGAGGATCTTGGTGTTTTCTTCAAGCATCTTGGCAATTTCTACTTCTGCAGCCGTGCCCAGCTGCTGCCTCTGTTAAAATAAAAGGTACACAAAGACAACAGAGCTTACATATATCCATCCTAAAAGAGATCAGAAAACTTTTGCCATAAAGGTCAATTAAACACTCACCTTCATTCTGATTAACAGACAGAAAGTCATAAAATACATTCATGTACTTTAAAGCACAAAAGTGTCCAGGAAACAACTTCAGCTGTTATGTTTCCAAGTATCTTAAGGGCAATTAGTGATGGTGTTAAGATATTTAAATGTAAACTGTCTTGAAAAGCTTATCACAAGCTGTCCTCTAAACACATTCAGTCAACTAGGATTGGCTGGTTTTAGCTCTGTCACCACCACCTCTCTTACCTGATTATCAATTTTGATCTCTGTCAGCGTTTCATTGTCTTTCAGTGCATCAACCAGTGCCAGAATTCCAACTCCAGTGATGAAGTTTGATTCGATGTTTAAACTTTTTAATTTTGTGTTTGCTCTCAGCATATCTGCAAGAGCCTTTGAGCATAAGAAAGTATCATTAAACTTTTGAATTTTGCTACAGCACATCAAAGGACACAGCAATAGCCATTTCTACTAAGTAGGTTCCATAAGAACCACAAGTTCACAGATGCACAGTGGAACTTTGCAAAGCTTTCACTTACTATTTGAGACTGAACTGAGCCTTCAACCAGGCATTATCTATATTCCCTTTTTAAATAGTATTCAGCCAAGAAAAAGCCTCTCTCTTGTTTCAAACTAAAAAGCACACAGAATCTAAATTGTCTGGAATTAGCATATTGGACCAATTCCATTTTGTAAGCCTTCCCAGCACACAATGAGTAATGCAAGCTGCTAAGTAAAGGCCAAAGAAAGGGCGTTAGTCAACTGAAAGGAGAATTAGATATGGTTAATTTGCAAACAGGAGCTCTGACTTTCAAAATACTTATGTCTACAGGTTTGGTAAAATTCAAAGCTGTAAGCACAGTACCAGCATGTAGCTAAAAGCACTTTTATGGAAACAGCATATACCTTCTTCCTTTCTCAGAAATGAGATCAAACGGGAATAGCTAACTGCTGAGGTCACCTGTCATAAAAATCTAATCTTTTTTTTTCCTGTCAAGTCACAATGCAAAAAAAAAAAAAATCAAACAAAACCACACTCAAGAAAAGAAGCCTTTATATATTTTTATTACTCATGTTTCAGTTCTGCTGAAAAAGAACTTTCTAATTGACCCAAAGCTTTCAAATGTTCATTTAATGAATTCTTTTAAACTAGTTTTGTTTCTAATTTGAAATTAAAACAAATGTTAAGGATTGTCCTGGCAAAACAGTTAGTGCTGTTTCCTTACCTCTTTATGTGCAAATAAATAAGATACTGCAATTGACTCAACACAGGGAAAACAGAACCTGATGACAGCTAAGTTTAATTTCTAACAAACTAGATACCTTGACTGATATTATGCTTAAATACCAATGCTTTAAGCCAGTCTTTGGTAGAGGGAGATCAGAGAAACATGTATTTTACACCTTCCTTGAGCTAAAATTCTAGCTAGTTGAAAAACATTGAGCTTTTCCAGTCCTCAAATGTGCTTCTTGTAAAAGAATCTTGAATAAACTCTTGGCTACTGGAATGAACACCAGGAACTAAACAATCAGAAAAGAAAGAAAAACAGGAAGGAGCTTAGGAAAATGAAAAATCAGGGGGAAGTGATTGGAAAAAAGAATTCTCGCTCATCTCACACATCTGATGCATTGCTGCATATTGGTCTACTAGTAATCATTTACCAACTTTGATACAACAAAGGTTTGTTAAAGAAAACATTCTTTACAGTGTAACAGAATGTAATCATCCTCATCCCTAAATATTTAACTGGATTAAACTCAATCCCTTACCATTGCCTTTCCATCCTAACTCCCCTTGCACCCAACTTAAGCGTGTTAGCAAAGGAAGAGTACTTACAACAGCAACAGGATCATTGCTTCGGGTGGCTGCCAGGCTAAAATTCTTCACATGTGTGTTGGTTTCTAAGGCTTTTGCAAATTCTTTCAGCGTTGGAATTGGTATGTTCTTGAATTAAAAATAGCATTTCACTCTCTTGAGATAGACACACAAGTTTATCCCCTCCCCCACGCTTCTTCCATTATCTTACTCTCTTTGCAGCAAAATGCACAGTAATATTAACTAGTATTGGTCCTCAGCAGTCTCACAGTAAAGGCTTACAGGTAGCTGTGTAGCTGAGCTGTAGGTGAGATGCAGTGGCTATAAGGGTCACCAATTCCATAAAGCAATAATTTTTACTGTGTAGCAGCAACCAAGTTTACAATGAATAATTTAAGATAATTAGGGCAGCAAATTTCTCAGTTTGTTCTACCAGAAATTTTGATCTGTTGCCTTTTTAGGTAACTATTTTGGCTAGCATTTATCTATTATATAGTATTCTTAAACCATGTGTTTAATTTTCTTCCTTTAGTAAGGGGAACAAGTAGCCCAGGCTGCTGGCAAGGCTGTTACTGCTGTCTGCACTGCAAGCCAGGAGTGCTACAGTTCTGTTTTCTTTCAAGCAAATACACAAAAGTTTGTATATTTTAAAAACACAACTGTTACACTTTGGAGCAGAAGCTACCCTAACTGCTGACAGCTCTTTGGGACGAGAATCAGGAGGATGTCAGGTACAAATATCACTTTGTTTGCAAGAGCAGTAACTGAGAGCACATTGCTTCATCAAGGACAAAGGATTCAAAAGAGTGGTTAACTCCACGACAGTGAACTGCTGCAACTGCTGCCAACTTGGCAGCAACAGAAATCTGGGCTGGCAATAAGAAAGTCTAAGACTTTTTAAATACACATTTGGCAAAAGAAACCAAGATGGCTTATCGGTTTAGCTCCAGGTCTCTGAGCTTATACACACTGCAACATTTAGCAGAAAGGCTGCTGTACTTAAAATAAGCCTATCATGTTCTCTAGAGAGTTTGCAGCTTAAAGTGTCTTCTCCTGAGAAAAAGCAGCATATTTACTGCAGGCTTCAGGTAATTACCTTAATGTTATTTAGATTAACTTCAACAAGACGAGAATCATTATCTTTAATCCTCTGCAGGGTCTCCTCCACATTTGTGGGATTTGGTGGTTCATCAAAAACAGGCAGCATTTTTTCACCTTTTACTATATCTGAAAAGTAAGGCATTTCACTGTAATCCAACAGGTTACATGCATTCACTGAATAAATGATACACACACTATTTACTGCATTTAAAGATCATGTCATCTGTCTTTACCTCTCTTACTCACCCAAAAAGCACGCCATCCTCTCCTGACCCTATTGTTGCAAAATACAATCCTTTTCCAAAGGTTCTGACAGCTTTCTGCTTTCTTTTGTAAACCAGCTTTTTTTTCAGAAAGCACATAGGAGTTGAATTACAAACACAAATATAAGACCCTAAAACCCAACTACGTTTGTGCCTACTTCTGTCAGTAAAAAGTGATTTAACTACAGAAGATATTTTAGTGTACTCATATTTTAGTTCCAATCTTGCAAGAACTCAATTAACAGTGTTACAGACATGCACATTTCCAGACTAAGACTGAGGAGTCTATAAAGAATGTTGGTGCAAGGGAAAATAAGTAGTGTTACAGGAACTGTGTGCAGTACAAAGAATTCATTTTCCTAGCACTTGTGTACACACTTACTTGAGAAGCTGTCTTTGTCAACCCCATTACTGCTTCCTACTACATCACAGAACTGACTGTTTGTTATCAAGTTGGACATTCCCAGAATAGCTGTAAAAAGAAAAAGAAAAAAAAACCAAACATTTTTATTGTTTCTGACTAATTCAGCTCAGATCAAGGTTCCTTTGAACAACAAGTGGTGTCTGTACAACATCCAGGTATCAGTACAAGAAGCCACCCAATATCTTCATTTTTAAAAGCAGAAAAATAATTATAGACTTTTTAGTTGGCTTTCACATCTTAGAAAGATTTGTTTGCCAGGTTTACGAGGTTCAAGCATCAAAGTTAAAAGTGTAGTTCAGTCACAAAATGAAGCTTTAGGAATAAAGGCACATAACACATTTTGTACTCAAGAAAAAACAGCAGCATACACAACAAAAACCAGCCAGTCTGAGGAATGGACTTACAAGTTTTGAGTTTGAAAATCAGGTATCTTTTACAGGCCAAAATAATTTACCTTCCTATGAATTATCACAAATTAACAAAGTTGAAACACTACAAGCAAACTGGCATAGATATGATCTAGTCTCTATCACAACTACAACTTCCTGTAGTCAGATAAATATGTTCATTGCAGATCTTTCTTGTTTAGATACACACTCAAAAAAACTAACCTGCAAGGTCACCTAATTCTGTGTCTGTGGCACTGGTCAAGGCTTCCTCCAGTTCTGGATCAAGAGAGAATTTTTCTTCTGCATAAGACTGTACAGGCTTTTGCTTGGGCATAAATATTTTCCCTGCAGTAAACAAAATAAAAAGTCTGATGTTACTTTGTATTATACAGCTGCATATCTTTTAACCATTCTATACTTAAGGAATACATACTGCATGTAGTAAGCTCTGAGAAGAGCACCATGGACTACATAAAGGAATGAGGTTTCTTCT